CAGAGGGAGGGAGGTGAAGACATCAGGGCTGGTTGGCTTCCTGAGTTAAGCACAGGCCACCGACTTAACTCATCAGCTGGGCTGCGCTCTGGGGCCGCCGGCTGCACCCTCAACCCTGGCCAGCCGTGCCCTCCCACCCCTTCATCTTGGTTGGACTTCTAGGGGAGGACGCGTCACTGGGTGGCCTTGTGAGTCGGGTCTGAGGCGTCATCTCCTAAGGGTGCCACTGCATGTCGTTATCTCACTCCCTTCGCGGCAGGTGGAGGGAGGGGAAACCAAGCCACTGCCCAGCCTCCTGTCCCACGTACGTCAATGTCGGGGCCTTCACACGGAAACATAGTCCCCGCCCTCCAACAGCGTGACGGCATGATGCATGAAGGGCTAACCCCATGACGGCACTCCGGGCGCCCAGCACTGTGCTCATGCCTCACAGGTCACGAACCGATCAGAGGTGTGCGCGGGAGCTCAGGGAGCAGAGAGGAGGAGCGGCCAACTCAAGCTGGGGGTACAGGCGCGGGGTGGGGACAGGAAACGGCCAGGGCGGCTCAGGGAGGAGAAGCCCGGGCGGTGAGACTTGCAGGGTGGGAAGGGACAGCGGCCGAGTGGAGAGCAGAGAGGAGGGGAGCCGCATGGGTGAGGCGCAGGAGAGAGACCAGGCTGCTCCAGAAGATGCTCATCACGGGGGCCTGGGATGTTTGTGGGGAGAGCGGAAAGCTCTTTGGTGGAAGAGATTGGCCAGGGGGGACCATGCAGAACCCTCAGGCCCATGGCGAAGGGTTGGAACGTACACCTGCAGACCGGGTTCCCAGCCAGTGGGCAGCAGGCCCCTGTAGCCTTGTGCCAAGGGTCCAGGAACCCACAGACGCATTTATAGGATTCCAGAGGGGGGGGAGGGGAGCTTGTCTACACCGAGAAAGGGTCCTTTCAGAGAACAGGAAACCCACGTGGCCAGCACACGTCTGACAAGATGCTCAGCTTGCCCTGGCCGGTTTGGCTCAGTGGATAGAGCATCAGCCTGTGGACTGAAGGGTCCCAGGTTCGATTCCAGCCAAGGGCACATGCCCGGGTTGTGGGCTCGATCCCCAGTGGGGGGCGTGCAGGAGGCAGCCGATGGAAGGGAGAGGGAGAGAGAGATAGAAACATCTCTCATCCTTGATGTTTCTATCTCTCTCTCCCTCTCCCGTCCACTCTGAAATCAATAAAGAAATATATTTTTTTAAAAAAGAAAAAAGATGCTCAGCTTTGCCAGAAATGGGGTTTGTGGTTCGCCGGGGCTGCTGGAGCCAATGATCACAAACGGGTGCCTCGGAACATCAGAAATGTATGTTTTCACGCTTCCGCAGGCCAGGAGTCTGAAAGCCAGGTGTCAGTGCAGTGGCTGGCTCCCGGGGAGACTCTGCTCCGTGCCTCCGAGGGCAACGGGAACATGGCACATGGGAATGCAGGTTGGCGCACTCGCTGAGAGGATCCATCCACCATCAGGGTTGAGTCCACACAGGCCCTGGCCAGTGTGCTCAGTGGTTAGAGCACCGGCCCCCACACCGAAGGGTCATGGGTTCGATTCCCGGTCAAGGTGGCAGGTTCCATCCTGCAACAAAAGGGACCACAGAAACAGGGCTCCGAGCCCCAGCAGGCCATCGAGGTCCTTGGAACTAACTCCCGTCGTGTATTTTACTTGCTGTTCTCCACAAGGACACGTTTCCCAGAACATGCAGTTTGCATGCTTGTTTGCGGAATATCACCCTTGAGCCTAGTTTCAGAAAGGGCATTGAAAGGTGAGGCCTTGTATCCAGCAATGAGGCAGCCTGCGTGTGGGCGATCTGTTAAAAAGATATTCACAGTCTACAGCCTGGTCTCAAACTCCCCTCCCAACTCTGCTCCTCCCCAAAATAGATCCCCCAAAGGCCAGGGGTTGGGCCTGACTTCCCAGGCTGGGCTCTCCCAGGAGGGCGGGTTGGGGAGCTGGTCCTGGTGGCACGCTCCAAAGGGCAGGCCACAGGTAGGCACCCACTGAGGCCTGGGCACTGCGGTTCTCCCTGGGGCGCCTTCTCCAGCGTGAGGCTGAGAGGACAGGACTCTGCCCCCGTGTGTCCCAGAAATCAGAGAGGCCTGGGTTTGGGGGGCGGGGGGCGGGGATGAGTGCCTTCACAGGTTTTCAGAGAAAGTGTCAGATTTGGAAAGTTGTGGGCATCTTCCCGGGACAACAGTGTACTCTTTCCACGAGAGCAAGGGGCCTTGCAAAATGATATCTTCAATTCACACAAACCCTGGGAGACAATGTGACAAGCCTGCTGCTGCTGAAGCAAGAAGTGAAATAAACGGGTTTTCACCCAGCTGGGTGGCTCAGTGGTGGAGCATGGACCCATGAACCAGGTCACTGACTCCCTGGATTATAGACTCGTTCCCCAGTAGGGGGCGTGCAGGAGGCAGCCGATGGATGTTTATCTCTCATTGATGTTTCTCTCTCTCTCCTTCTCCCTTCCTCTCTCTGAAATCAACAAAAAACATATTTAAAGCCCTGGCTGGTTTGGCTCGATGGATGGAGTGTCAGCCTGCGAACCAAAAGGTCCCTGGTTCAATTCCGGTCAAGGGCACATGCCTGGGTTGTAGGCTCAATCCCCATTGGGGGTGTGCAGGAGGCAGCCAATCAATTATTCCCTCTCATCATTGATATTTCTATCTCTCTCTCCTTCTCCCTTCCTCTCTGAAATCAATAAAAATATCGGCCCGGGCTGATGTGAAAAAGAAAGAAACCAGTTTTCTCTCACACTTACCTGTCCAAAGGAGGGAGGCACAAAGCCAACGGGCCACATTAAGGATTTCTCATTAAAAATGTTTCTGCTTCTCATTTCGGTTGTACAATCAACCATCGTACACATCACGTTAAACAGGAGCCTTTTAACAAACTTTCGGAAAAAGACGCTTCTTGGTGAGGCAGGAGGCAAACAGTTAATTTGGGTCTTGAGGGATGAGCAGGAGTTTGTGTTGGGTTACACAGGGGGCGGGGGG